TTTTCGTCTTTAAACACCATTGACCACTATATAGCATCATCAGCATCATTATCAATGTCTTGCTCCAGATGGATTGATGAAATAAAAAGCAGAACATCTATTCATCCTGGAGAAATCCGATGAGCGATGAAGCTCTTGTCCAGAGCGTGTTTTTACTGTAGACGGACTGACCATGTCAATGGAACTTGTAATTTTCACACCTGCCACACAGGATATACACACTAACACGTGCTCCATCAAGAAGGAAACCAATTTTGTTTATTTTACAGTCGGAGTTATGAAATGTAGTCTTATCTACTCTATTTCAGCCAAATGGAGAGTTTAAACATTAATGAATTTATCAACATTATTACAGTCAATTTAACTTCAGAGTGGTACCAATATCTTGTTCTTTGCCAAGACTGCCACAGCTTGGTACAGGTTTGTTGGGATATTGTAGACACTGAGCCACGCGTTTGGTGTTGTTTGTCAAGAGACTCCAAGTAGGTGAATAAAATAAACAAGGCCTTCAAAGTGGTAGCAGGTAAATTCAGAGCCTCCCATAACAGCAGAAATTGTGTGCACACAGTTGCAATATATCTTTACAAACGATAATCTTCTGCTTATAAAATATTCAAAATGTAGACGTTGAAATATGATTTAAATTTTCAAATATATTTTGAAACGTGTATTCCGATCCATTCACGAGAATATCCATGTATGTGTACAAGTGAATATTGTACATGAAGTAGGGGAAGGCAGCACTGTAGATGGAAATACATTACACGAATCATACTTTCATGTGACGGCATTAAAAGTAAACTCTTGCCCGAGATTAAGCAGGTTACAGACGCTGAAATATAATGATACCCAAATCGGAAACCTCACTTTCTTACGTTTATTACATTCATCTGCATATAGAGTGGTTTATTTTAATTACCGCCACGTTATCTGTGCATGCCTGGATAGCATAACGCTGTTACCTATATCAAATGAATCCTTTACAGGCTTTATCGACCCACTGCTGAATGAAGGCCTTCCCAGCCCCGTTGACTGAAGCCCCAGATGAGATTGGATATCACTCGCCGCCGATGTTGCTGTAGTTGGGAATCGAACTCAGGTGGCCTGATTCACAGTGCGGTGCAATAACCATTGAGCCACCGCCCTCCACCGGCTAATTACACGCGGTTGCTCATGACGTCTGGATTGCCATGGGGTCGGTGCATTGGTTCTGTTACCTAAAGAATGTTGGGTCACCCCACGATGGCCAAGCCATTGATTTTGTGTGCATATTCCATTCATGCTTTGAAGATCTAGACTTTAGTCCTTTATGATGTATTTCCACAATAGTTGATTCGCAGTTATGATTAGTAACGTGACCTTAACATCCATTGATGTGCCACGATAACTCAATCATCGTTATCTTTACAAGACGCACCTCAAAGAGCTACAACTAAATAGGGTATCGTCATCACAGTCCATGATCTATTCACTCGTGGATGAAATCCCCTCCCCAAGTCTCCCCATCCCTCACGGACCCCACGGTCTCGCGATGCAACAATGCCCACGATCTTATCGCTCCATCTCCACGGGTGTCGATCTCACGTCGGGGGGGGGGAGGGTCCCGACCTTCAGGTGGTGGCACCTCATCATTAATCTCGACCGCCACTGGGCTGGTGGGACGATGGTTGGCCCAATGCCACTTGCCTTTCCTGGCAGCGTGATGAAGACATTTTTTTATGCAAACTTGACAATTTTCGGCATTATTTGGCCAAATAATCTAGATTTCAAAGTACACTTTTATAGCAATAGATTCATTATTATGTAAACAAGGTACCGCATCAACTATTGTGTGGTTTTCTAATTAAAAGTCCACGCTAAGACTCAATATAAGAACAACCGAATGGGCCATTCATAGACTCAGTGCATCTGAGGCCTACTTCGGAAATAGGATGATGATGAAAAGAGGCAAATGTAATGCTCTATTAAATGAGCATTGTTACAGTTTTGTATTTTTTGCAGTTAGAACAATAACAACTTTATAAAAAACGCACCATACTTCTCATGGCATTATCTACCGTATTGGACGCACTGGCAATATAACTGAGTTGAAACTTGACATAATACATCGATGTCATTTAGTCAATGTCATTTCAGTAATCAAACATACACAGTGAAAATTTTCGTGATGTGTCATATGTGAATCATATTACATTCAATAGTTATTGGGGTAGAGCAGTACTTAGAACACTGCGTCATGAACCAAGAACATTTAATTCCATTCTTGATCTTGGATCATGTCAGTTGGTGGGTGACATGTAAAGCAGTCCTGGGTTCACCCCCTTCCCCAAGCTGCTTGACTAGTGTGGTGAAGTATGGTCAAAACATTCCCATGGATGGGCCTTCATCCATCAAAGTACTGGCAAATAGCTAAAACAAGTTCTATTAGTTTTTTATGGTGGCATTTTAGGAGTTACTTTTAAATGTGGTGGGAATGCTAAACATAGCAATATATCCTATAATATAATTTTCTGATTTTGTTTATGTAACTATTCAGCATATGGCCTCAAATATATTACTCATTAGACTATAGTTTCAACATAATTATGGACACTTTCCATAATTATTCATGGCCATAGCCAATGTTTAAGTAACATCTGTTCAGTCATTGTTTTTCTTCCCCATAGCATGGAAAGAGTGAATTAACGAAGCGATTGTGGTCACTGACTAGAGAATATGTAGCCAAGCCACACTAAACAAGGACTATAACCATTGCAGTGGGGATGATTCTCGTGCCCTTGATTTTCAGTCAAGATCGTGCCACATTCTCAAATCGAGTGCGATATTATCACCTACAGATGGGAGAATGTCGTTTTTCGATGTGGGCTGGCAGCCAGGCAGTGCGTCCAGAACGTAAACAACACCTGTGCCCGTTTTAATCCGCCGTGTGCTTTTTTTAGTTAGATGACACGGCCATTGTTCGCCGTCCATCTAATTTCCATGCGGCCCAGGCTAAACAACGCCTCTCGGTTGGCCATTGTTCTTTGACAAAGTAAACTTTGATGAAGCTCCATCACGGCGGTGAGCAGACGAGAGGCGCAGCTGCCGCTCGGCGTGCCCTCCGCTGCGTCCTTGCGCTCAGCCGCCGGCTCCTCGCATCGTCGCCTTTCCCATTTCGCCCGTCACACACAGACAATTTAGAACTCACTCCCCCAGAGGGGGGGACAAAAAAAACATTCCTCGGCTTAAGCCGCTCGCCCAGCTTTACCCGTAATCCTTGTTTAAAAAAAGACAAATAGCAAAGCGTTTGAGCCGCCTCTCTTCACGCCGCCGCTCGTTTATTGTAGTCCGTTGCGAAATACAGAACCACCGCAGTCTATGGATTCTAATTTAAAGAAGCACTTATCTTTGATGATTGCACCCAATGGATTCTATACCTATTAACATTTGAAGAGATACGTCTTATTAACCTTCACGGCAGGTGTATTACGGCTTTAATATATATATTGCTTGGTGATGTGACTTGAATATACATTGTTCAGTTTTTATTTAAATATATGTCAGGCAGGATAGAGATATGTTGGATGAGTGCACAAGATACCGATTAAGTGTGCATGAGGAGTTATATACATTTTAAAATCACAGGATATGTTTGCATTAATCTCCACACTCGAGAGAGATTGGACATACACTATAAAGTGATGTATTAAGCAAGACACGTTTTGAAATTGCTGTATTTCAAAATCAAGTGAGGATGAATGTAAGAGGAAAATAAATGTGAAGAAGTAATGCACTTTCACCATAACTGAGACACTGTTATGGTACTATCTTAACATTGTATAGCCCCTAATTATTCCAAAGACATTTTCAAAGTTAAAAAGTTTGAAAAAACAAGTCTACTATGGAAATGCAGTACATTGTAACTACAAATTAACATGGCAAGTTCCAGTTAACAACCTTGAACAGACCACATCTATAATTGTCTCCATGCTCACATGGGGATACTACAGGGCCCATCTCTGTTGGCTGAGCCAGTGATGCTCATTCCACATTCCCATGGCAATCGCCAATAACCTCAGAGGACATTCTGATCTTGACTTCCCACCAAGTGGTACTCACGTTTCTCAATGCTGTGTTTATGCATATGTGAGTTTATGTAAGTGTTAACCTATGTACGCGTGTTATTGATTGCATAATACATCTGGCAGCACCTTAAAACAAGTATGAAGTCAGCCACACATTTGAGTATTGTTTTACGATGAAAGTTTGTACTCTGTGCTAAAACCCTCCCATGCCACTAATTGCCTTGAGAGGAGCGACCTGGCCCCTTCGTCGCGCGTCACGTCTGAAGCAGCAGCAAGCCGCAGCTGAGCTCAGTACGCCTTTGTGGTGGATGTTAATTCCACAGACAATTCTACCCACGTGCAGATGTTCGGCCCTTTTTGTCAATCCACTGCTGGATGAGGGCCACCTCTCTGCTGTGCCGGTCTTGGGGCTCATTTGAACGCTACCTTGCCATGCGTGTGTGGCATTGAGTTAGCATCGTGTCACTTGAGTTGGGCGTTTAATTAAAGACCACCGGAGGAGGTGACGTCATGTGCTGTGTGACGTCGTGTACTCAGTGACGTCGTGTGCTCTGTGACGTCGTGTGCTCTGTGACGTCATGTGCTCTGTGACATCGTGTCCTCTGTGACGTCGTGTGCTCTGTGACGTTGTGTGCTCATCGACCTGTGAATGCTTCCACTCAAAACCCACAGCGAACACGGCAATAATCCAGGAGACAAAGCACTGTCTATTAATGCTTGGTAATAGACAATGCTCATAATCTCCCCACAGTGTGAGCCATGAGGGTTATGGGCCATACTTCACCACACTGGCCAGTACGAGTTGGTGAAGGCAAGAGGGCCATGGACGTGTGAGCCTAGATTGTCCTTACAGCCTGCGGACAATTTGTGTGCCCTGTGTTGTCCAAAACGTTTTGAACACTAACCAAACTGTCCTTTCTCATTTCCGTTACCCAGGCACATTTTCCTGCCTCAAGGGAGAAAGTCATCGGTGCAGTGTTCACGCCACAGCGTGCGCGTGAATAAATAGCGGCAGACACAGAGATAATAAAAAAGAGACGTCGGGAGGGATTACCGCTCCACTGCCTGCAACACCATGAGCGGGAACGGCCAACAGGGCCCGGACGCCCCACCCTCCTTCGCCACGTACGCACAGGAGGATGACGATTGCGACTCCTCTGATGCCGAGCCCTCATCACAGAAAACGACGGATGCAGCAAAGGAGTGCGCCGCTTCCAGCAGGCAGCCGGCACCTGTCGTCCTTGACGACTGGGAGCTTCCAAGCCCCTCCGAGTACGAAAGCCTCCCGGCCATTCCGCAGCAGGGACCGGGGGCCTCCAGGGATGCTTCAGAGACCAAAGAGAAAGGCGGCGGCGGCGGCGGCGGCAGCTTCGGTGCGACTGAGCTAGCGGCGAGCCAAAGCGGCGGTGGGGCAGACGTGGCTTCACTTCGCTCGGACTCCAAGGCGGACTCCAGGGCACCGGCTGGGGGCTTCACAAACCAACTCTCATTCTCCGATGACAAACCGAGTCCCGTGACGCACAAAGAGAACAAATTTGACGTTGACAAGCCAGATGAAAACAAGGAAGCATCTGAAAAGCCCGTGATAAAGACTCACTGTTTCCCGTGTGGAGATGGCGACGAGGTCGCACACCTCGCTCACGACAACATTCAGGGTCCAGAATTTCGACGGGATGAGCCTGTGCCATGTGACGCAGCCAGCACAGCAGCGCTGCCAAATGAAACTGACGGTGCTCAATTAAGCAAACCCGCCGCGCCAAATACCGAATCGTCCGGCAGTGCGGCTGAAAACGGCAAACGGCCCCAAACCGGCAAAGAAAGCCCCGAACCTCACGAGGAGACTATAGCGGGATTTACAGAGCCTCAAGAATCAGACGGAGGCTCCTCTGCTGAGGCTCCGCATCAGGAGGGTTCAAGTGGGCTATTAACCTTGAAGACGAAACAGGTGACATTCAGCGAGGAAGTTTTGGTTGAAGAGAAGTTCGATGAACCTGGAAATGGCGAGAACGTTTTGAGCGTCGTGAACTTCAGTGCAATGCCTGCAGACGCGGATGAGACCTGCGCCTTCAGATCGTACGAGGCCTCCAACAAGAAGGCATCAATGCTGCGATCCTACACGCTGCCCAACACGTACACGTTCGATTACAGGGGGGAAGACGACAACGACATTCTGGACGCGGCCTCGCAGAGTAAGACCCTGAAAAGTGAAAACCAAAAACTGGAGCGGAAGCTTTCAGAACAGTGCTTGGGACAGAAATCCGACAGTGCTTGCATGTTTACAGAGCAGGTGGTGGCTGGTGATTTGTCATCCAAACAGCCCGAGGTTTTGGAAATGGAACATAATCTACAGGAGGCAGATAAAGAAACAAAGCAACAAAACGATGCCCTCAATATCCATGCAGGCAACGTGGGTGTGGATGAGTCAAGTTTCACCAGCATTGTTAATTTGCGAGCTATTCCTGAAGGGAGAGAGGCGGCTGATTTTCAGACCGATAAACCTCTGCCCATAGATGCGGGTTCTGCTCAAGACCAAAGCTTGGGCTTCACAGCAACATCGTTAAACCATCACTCTGAAAAGCCTACTCCGCAAAGAGATATAATATCCACAGATTTTCTACCGATTGAACAGAAAGCATCCAAAATAGTGCTACAGGGAAGCAGTTCTCAAAAGGTGAAATCGAGTCAAGGAGGAGAGAGCCAGGGTGCCATCAAAGGTGACAGCCTCGCAGAAGAAATAAAAATGCCCGAGGTGCAAACGGAGCAACCGTCCTTTCCAAAAGTGGAATGTGAAGCCAAATTTGGTGATAAGAGGAGTAACGACGCACACGTGCTGCAGGCGGATGGTGACAAAACCTCTATAGAGAAATTGGAAGATGAAGAAAAATCTATTGAGGCGTCGGAATGCAAAGATATTATGAAGGACGACAAGAATGGAAGCGCGATTCCGGAGTTGAAATGTGCAGATGCATCACGAGCGGAGAGCGAAAGCGACGCTTTGAGTGCCGGTCATACAAAAGAGCCCACACAACAAGGTCACGTCGAAGAACCTCGGCCCGGAAAACACGCCCCGGGTGACGCTGAGTCCACACCAGTGGAGCACGCAACAACCTGCTCCAGTTCAAATGGGAAAGACGCGGTCGCTATTGGACCGGACACCTCCAAAACCGACGTAGCCAGCATGTTGGAACCCCACGCGCAGTCCACGCCACTATCGGCGCCACTGCAGTCGGAGCTCGATTTCTACGCCATGAAAGCAATCGACAGCGAGTCGGACGCCAGCTCTGACGACGAATTGCAGTGCAATGTCGTGGACCAGTTTGGAAAGCCGACGTCGGGGGACTTTCTCACAGCTGGAGGGGCCGGGGAAGATGGCCAGAAGTCAGCCGGCCATCACGGACACTCGAGGCTCTCGCCGTTGGAGACAGCTATCTTGTCTGAGTTTCAGGAGGACAATAGCGACGAGGAACAGTACTTCCCATCCGAAAAGGCGTCTGCGGCAAGCGCTCGGCAAGAGTTCCCTCCGGAGCACGCCAGGCAGGAGGAACGGAAGGAGAGTGACTTCAGCAGCTTTCGCTTTCACTGCATCGACCCGCAGGATGAATCTGCGTACTACGAGTATCCCCCCGATGCGAAGGGGCACGGACACGACGTGGAGTATATGGAGCTGAACACGGCTGGTAAAGAGGCCCTCCTTGCTTATTCGAAACAATCGGCAGAAACGAAACTGCTGGACCAAGCATCAGGAGGCACCCCAGAAATAGATATCACGCAACACATGCATCCAGAAGAGGAGGAAGAGGAGGAAGAGGAGGAGGAGGAGGAAGAAGAAGAAGAGGGTTTGGTTCCAAGGTCTGACACAGAGGACACCTCCGCAGAAATGAAGCGTGTTGAAGCAGATCCGTACAAGCCGGATTCTCTGTCGGTGGACAAAGACAAGGATTTTATTTTCAGTTCTCCTCTAATGAAGTCCGACCTCCCCGTGCTGAGCGCGCGGGAGTCTGAATACCACCCGGCCGGTGTTCTGTTCGAGAACGTGACCCCAACGCGGTCACTCTCCGGTGCAGACAAGCGTCTTGGAGGAATAAAATACTCGCTGAGCGTGGACGTGAGCAGCGTGCTGCGCCACAATGACGGCAGCGACGATGAGAGCGACAAGGGTCACCACCACCACCACGCTCGCGTGGCGTACGAGAGAGAACTGCCGGGCCTCAGCGAGCAGGAAAAGAGCCCCGATTCTGAGATCGCGCCACTCAAATTTGCCGAGGAGCAGCTGTGTCCAGCGCACGTTCCGAGAATATCAACAACGCCGCCGCCCCACGACGACGAATACACCCAGGACACCCTGGGCGAGGGAGCTGCGGCTCAAAAGGACGCAGCGTTCACTGATTATATTCATTCAGAAAGTTTCAGTCCTAAAAAGAGCATACCACACGCTGAGTGTTTGCCTCCAGCAAGGGAGGAATCTCAACCGGATGAATCGATCAAAACAGACACAGCGGCAAACGCCGAGCAGAAGGAAGATGCCAAGCACGCCACAACCACTGACGTTCAATTAAAGCAATCTGCCGACTCGGGCTCCGAAGGCGTCGCTGAGACACAACGCCAGGCGGAAGACGGCAAAGGCCTCTCCGAGTCGCAGGTGGAAGTGTTTGTTAACGAGGGTGCCGAGGGACAACAGCGAGATTCGAAACAACAAATCAAAGACAAGGAGATGGAGACAGCGGAGGAGCAGCTGGCGAGGGCAGAGGCACGGCACGGCGCTGAGCAGGATGCCAAGCCCACGAAGCCACATTCAACAGCGAGCGGTAAGGTTCGCATTGAATCAAGCGACAGATGGCGTGTGGCAAGGTATGCACGTATGTTGAACTTCTTTTGCACCGTACGTAGCCAACCCTGCTAATCGGAGGTGTGGAGGGTAAGAGTGGGCTAATGCCACCTCGTCTTACACGGACAATTTAATTTGGTATTCGTGATAGCTTTGTGTTGTGCAAGTTGTCTGGGTATGAAATTGACGGTCGAATACAGGAAACCCAGCAGGGAAGTTCGGTACAATTATATATACCAACGTATGTTTAATTTGAACATCATCATCATCATCGAAATACAGCAGATTATCCACGTACAATTTCCAAGTGATCTCCACAGAGTTCAGAACGTTGCCCTGTGGATTCTTGTTTGGTGTGATCCATAGAATGTAAAATTGGTGAGCAACTGAAAATATCCAGAATCATCGGTGTTCTCAGGCAAATTAGCATTCAGCACTGTGCACGCACACATGTGCTGGCTGTTACAACACACACGACATGCTAAGTAGGATACATTACGCACACTCGTTAGGGCAGTGGCACAGTAGTTAGTGCACTGCACTACGAAGCCAGCAACCTGAGTTCAATACCCGGCCATAGATACTACCAGTCGTGAGTGACATCTGAACTGGTTCATTCCACTGTCAGAATCAGAGTGACCTATGCAACCGACGTGATGGAATTCTAATTGCAACCAGCACTGCATTGCACTTTGAGTAGTACCACCGATCCATACACATAGATTATGACACTTCACATGTCAGTCACTGGTGAGTGTCTCTTGAGTTTATTTGGTGAGTAATATGTGAGTGGTGAATGTCCTGATGAGTATCTCGTTAGGGTCAGGAGTCAGATAAGTATCCACACATTTGTAGGCCAAATATGATCAATATTACACTGCTGAAAATTAACTGTTCCTGTGTGACTCTGGGCAACCATTCCTCAATTTCTGAAGAAAAAAATCCAATTGGCCTCTCCGATGGTTAAATAAAGGAGCGGGATATGTGGCGGTTTGCGCAACATTTAAGCACATACCACTATCAATGCAAATGCACACGACCGAATCAGAACCAGAATATTCATTTACACTGGAGTTCATAATCATCATATTTGCAGTTCGGTTAGCACGATTAAACGCTTGGTATAAACCCCCCAGTCAAAGCATATTTTTACGTGAAAATGAAGAAATGGAAGGTGATTTATTTATTTAGCGAATGATTTTACGCGTGACCGTCATACAGTTAGAGCGCCAGATATGCAAGAAAAGCAAATAATGTAATATTTGTAGAATGTTATATTGTGTGTGAGTGGACGTCAGGCCCACGTAGCAACAGAGCAGTGTGACAGCCTCCTCTTCCATCCAGAACGTGCAGGGCGAGCTGGAATGGAAGGCGATTTAGCATGAATGGCGGCTCAGGCTGATGCCACCGGCAACCGGGGGAGGCGAGGACTTGGGGGGGGGGGGGGGGTGGAGAGGTTCGTGGACGAGACGCCATGGAGAGAGGGGGCTGGATGGCGCTGGGGGTGTCTTTAAACAGCCACGCGAGTGCTGCACTGCTGCACCCACGGCTCGGATGCATTAACCAGCGGCGTGTGCACAGTTGATTACGCGCGCATTTGACTGAAATTAAGTCAATTGGGTAGCTACTAAATTTTAATAGCATCACGTGTCACATATGTGTTGGGAGCTGTGCTTAGCATAAATACGCCCCAATTACCATAGATAAGGTGATATTAATTATTTCTCCTCAATCCTATGTATTTGTATATATTGGTTGTTCCTAAAAAAAATGTTTATCTCTGGCAACCTAATGATTGACTTTTGATTTAAAGCTTTCGTGACTGCAGGGATTCATCTTCTTGGTTCTTTCGGTAAAGTCACGTAGAAGGGAAGTAATAAAATAATAAAAATAAAACATAATAAAATTATTCTCACGACGTTTCGGCCACAACGCAAGCAGCCATCCTCAGGTGAAAACCAGGTCCGTCATTCGGACTCTGTCGCCTCGACGGACCTGGTTTTCACCTGAGGACGGCTGCTTGCGTTGTGGCCGAAACGTCGTGAGAATAATTTTATTATGTTTTATTTTTATTATTTTATTACTTCCCTTCTACGTGACTTTACCGAAAGAACCAAGAAGACTAATGATTGACCTTAAAATTATCGAGGATCCATCGCGTTGCCAATGGACTTCTGAAGTTCAGATAGTGAACAATTACGCTTGAAATTTCCAACATTTTCAGTGACGAAGCATCGAGAAATGAGGTATTTGAAAGTTAACTTAAAAAACAATCTTTCCGTGGGGTTTTCACCCACGCTTGTTTGTTGACCCTGCAGGCTTCAAAGAGCCAATTGTGCACCAGGAGGCCATCGACGAATCGGGGGACACGGTGGACACCGACACCCCCCTGAAAAGTCCCAAGTCCTTGCCCGCCGAAGATAAAGCTCACGTCCAGACGGAGACTCCGCCAGCGGAGACACAACCAGCGGCTCCGGCAGGGGTCGAGGAGGCTCCGGCTTGGGGAATGGAGGCGGTTGCCAGCCACGAGGTGCAAGCGAGGCGACCCACAGAGGAAGAGGAGAGCATTCAGCCCGAGAAGGTTCTTCAGGCAGAGGAACGGCACATCGTCGGGGAGGAAGACGCAGCCCACGCTGCGGCACAACAATCGGAGGGCGACAGGAAGCCACCCGTAGAGGCAGAGCAACCTGGTGACGTCGAGAAGCAGGCCGCAGCTGAAGACGCCCATTTGGAGAGCCCCTTAGCTGCCAGTGAGAGCAAAGCGGCCGCAATGAGCGACCTTGACAGTAGCACGTGCACACCAGATGTTGGGAGCACGGTAGACGTGGATAGAAAGTTAGACACCGTGTGCGAACCTGAGGAAGCGGTGGAGGTAGATGTTGAACACAAGCCTGACGAGACAAATGTAAAAGTTGAAAGCAAGCCGCAAGAGGAGAGCCAGCCAGATGCTGTGACAAAGACAGACGCAAAGGACGTTCCAGTTATTGAGAGCAGCTTAGAGGGCAGCGGGCTAGATATGGAGAGCAAAGGAGAAGAGAAGAGCACTCCGGATACTGAGAGCAAACTTGAAGGGACGAGCGTTGCCCACATTGACAGTGAACTGGACCAGAAGAGCATTCCGGATGTTGAGATCAAGCTTGAAGAGAAGAGTCTTCCAGATGTTGAGACCAGGTTAGAAGAGAAGCACATTGCAGATACTGGCAGCATGCCTGAAGAGAAGAGCACTGCGGATATTGAGAACACGCCAGGAGGAAATACAATTCCCGAGGATAAGCCAGAAGCGAAGGGTGATCCGCATAATGGGGACAAAACAGAAGGTGATACTAAACCAGATGGTGATGAAAAGCCAGAAGAACAGAGCCAGCCTGAGGCTGAGAGCAGAGCAGACATCGAGAGCAGAGCTGACGTGGAGGGGGGAGAAGGAGAAGAGGAGATGAGCGAAGTGAGTAAGGAATGCGTCCCAGAGAGCGAGTTAAAGCTGGAAGAAGAGAGCAGCAAGATGGTGGAGGAGGAGCCGGAGGAGGAGGAGGAAGGGGAGAGCCTCGCGGATGTGGAGATTATCGTGGAGAGGAGAGACAGTGACCAGGTGGGGAAGCGGTCCCTTCCCAGCTCTCCAGAGAAGAAGTCTCCCAAGAAAGATGCAACGAAGCGCAGAAAAGGTTGTGGATTGGGAACTCTCATTGAAATGTATTCAGAGTTCATGGGCTCGGTGATGTTTAGTGTTGTGTTGTCCTGTCGTGTTGGTAAAGTGTTCAATGGTAATTTGTAATGTAGAACCAATCTGACTTTGCACCAATGAACATGATATGTTTAAATGGTTAAAACAAGTTAATTTCGTTGATTAAAGTTTATATTAAGGGACATGACATGCAATTAAACATAATTCATAGCCTTTAGGCAATTGAGGTGTATCTCCCTCGCCTTGCCAACCCTGACGATGGCTGTTGCATATTTGGAGGCTGCGTTTTCTCTCTCCCGGTGGTGGTCACGTGGGATATTTCTCCAGGTTTTTATGTTTTTGCCCTCCACATTTAGAATCAACATGCATTTAGATTAGTGTTTTTACGTGACAATGTTTAAATGTTCTAAATGAACGATACTTTTGATTACAATGTACGGACAAGTTCATTAGTTGAAATTAGTTAATGGATTGTCTATCCTAACGAATGCACGTTGCAGGACCTTTCTAGTTCCCCACTGATCGTGCTTTAATGGGTTCATTCTGATTGATGCTTCTGTCTGCCTCTGCCACTCATCTAACCATCTCCCCGACTCTCCCCACTGACCTTTCGCACACCCTCCTTGCGTGCTCGGTTACCCTGCGGCCGCCCAGTGGGTAAGAAGGGAGACCTGACCAAGCGCGCCGAGCTCCGCTCCCCCGTGAGAGCCAGCCGAGCCACGGAGAGGCCCCAGCGAGCCTCCCCGCACGCCACCGGCAAGAAGCGACAGAAAGGTGACGCCCGTCCAGCCATCCTCCCCCACCAGCGAGGCAGCATCGTCTCTTGTTTCTGACTCTGCTGATGAGACACCGCGAGTCGAAGCCAGTCCATCCGGAGTTTGCTTGCGTTGACGCAATGCTGCTGAAATGACGTGCTTCTTTGGCCAGGGCGGATATCTAATGTTTGGATATGTGTTCTGGTACTAAATATATTTAGAAATCCTATTATATAAAGGAACTATTCTTTGGAAGTTTTACAATCATATGCGAAGTGGCACAAAGCTTGAGTCTTAAAGTATGAAACTTAATTAGCAAGCAAAATATTTTAACCATAATTTGCCTTGTTGCCTCAAGATGAAGCCAGTCTGCCCATGAGCACTGCGACACGACCGCCACTTCGTGGCGATTGGCGGTCGCCACTGTCGCTGCTGGTGGTGTTGCAACACGCGCAGCACACTTTGGAGGGCCGTCACTTTGCTTTAGAGGGGGATCTCGTCCCGGCTCCTTCTCACTCGCCGTGGATTTGTGAACATTGTAAAACCTCATCTTCGCCAAGTGCAGGGGGGACGCGTGGTTGCCGATCCAACCTCGAAATAATGACGCGGGGAGGTGGCCAATGGTGCAGATGTTGGACGAAGGACCAAACAGGCCATGAGCGTGCTGCGGTGGCCAAGAGAAGTTAACTTCCCCGCCTGGTGTACAGGAAGTCGTGGGTTTGATCCCGACCCTGACACCTGCTGTATATTTGGAGTTTGTGTGTCTCTCTCCCATCATCATCATCATCACGGTGGCTCGGAGAGATTGTTGACTACCCCGCTTGTTATACAGGAGGTCGTTGGTTCGATCCCGACCCTGGATATTTGGAGTTTGCATGTTCTGCCCGTGGTCACGTGGATTTTTTCTGAGTCCTCCAGTTTTTCCCTTCACATTTAGAATCAACGTGCGTTTAGAGTGTTTGGCTTCTAGAAATATCCACATGAATAGCCACTTCATTGGGCTATCATTTGTGGTCAGGTCGCTTCTGAAAAAGAGATATGTAACTCAATGGTCCTTACCTGATAAAATAAAACATTGTTTAGTTTCAAAAGAGCTACCTCCTTCTGACAGAGCCGGCCTACCCGGGCTTACGGGAAGGGCAAATCAAAACGCACGTAACCGACCGGTCTGATTCTGTGTCTTGTGCACTACAGCTCCTCCAAAAGCGGACGCAGCAGGAGTGGAGTTGCCTGCTGCAGGACAGCAGACATTCAGCCCGAGTGCCAAGGCCAAGGTGAGGTGACGTGAGGCACCCATCTGACCATCTCTGTGATACTTGCTGCTGACGCCAGCGATGGAAAGCTTTCGGATCTGCCACTGCTTTGACATTTCTGAGCAATGTATTCGAGAGGCTGATCGTTTCATTAGAGCATCAGATGGAGTTGGGGAGGGAGATGGTCCTGGACTTTTAAAGGTTCGAGATGACCACAGATTGTAAGTAGTACTCACACTAATTGAGCAAACACTTCATGTTGTGAGGCCTAAAGTTAGATTATAGACTCGTGAGTTATTACAAAAACACAGTGCCCCCGGCAAAGATTAGGCACTCCCATTGTCTCCAGGTCTGCTGAGACCACTTCCCATCTCATTCCAAACAATTGTTTATTGATTTTAATCAGACGTTCAGTACAGCGACTCTCAGGGGCCCAGCGGTGGCATCAGCGGTGGCATCAGTGGTGGCATCAGCGGTGGCATCATCAGTGGCATCAGCAGCGCCGCCTGCCAGCGCTGCGCAGTTTCACGTCCTGCCCAATCAGGGGGGGGTCGGCTCTTTATCCTTTTTCAAAGTAAATTTGTTTAAATTAACTTTAACTATTAACATTAGATTGTTTTGGTTAAATGTCATTAATCATATTAATAATAAACTAATGATATGGTGATGCTGCATTGGCAGTGGTGCACAAGCACAATGAACAAACTCAACACACGTCCGTCAACATAATTTCTTTAAAAATAAAGATATAACAGGTAACATTCCGGGCAGTGATCCTGCAGCAGGCAACGTACGTGTCGTCGTGTCCATTTGGACTCGGTCTGTGAAACGCGCTCACAATGACGTTGATGCGTGTGCTGTGATCAAGGGACGTCGCCCACAATGTCACCTGTTATATCGGGTTTTTTATTCTAATGCCACAGTTTTAATGGCGAATGTGTTCAGTTTTGTTTTAGTCAGTTATGAATGCTTCAGTCCTCCATGTGAATGTACACACGGACTGCCATTCCATATATAGTTTCATGCAGCTCCGTGTGAATGAATAAAGGTACCTGGGTGAATTAGACTAAGGGGGTGTCATCATGACCCGTTCGAATAACTATTCGAATTTTAGCACACATATGACATAAGAGCCTTAGACGTTTTGCCAAAGAATACATATATATAGCGTTCTAGGCTTCCCAATCAGACAAAGTGGTTTAATCCTCTTATCCCTGAGTTGTATTATCACGGGTGCTGTTACCTACATCTTGACAAATAAGAGGCGATGGTACTGAAACGTGTGGGCCTCTACTCCCACATGGCGGGCCAATGCCAGCGTGCTGTGGTGGGCATCCCTGAAGCCGCTCCTTCTCTGCTGCTGACGCTTCGGTCGAGAACCGTCCCCCCCCCCCCCCCCCCCACCAGCCGTCCACGCCGCTGGCTCCATCCCTCTTTCCAATCCAGGATGATGGACCTCCTTCTTCTCCTTTGCCTATGCATGGCCATTTCTATTTATTCAAACGCCGTGATCAATACAGACATCACCTTCCTGCTCTCCACAATGTCCCCTTCACCTAAAGCAAGATCCCCATGGGCCAGCAACGCACGTTACAAGACAGAACCACGTCCTCGCTGTCATCCACAACTCCTGCGTGTCACCTGAGTGCCCAGCTTTCTCCTTTGTCTTTTACATCGCTTATGGCGGCCCTCTGTTGTCGTGTCTGTCACGAAGATCCACATTTGTGCTGTGATTCTCTAAGCCATTGTGAAACCTCCTTCCCCGGGGGGCCAATAAGTTACTCGGGATGTCTCGCGTGCCCTCTTCACGAACGTCCGCACGTGCGTTTCACTGACTGCCGCGCGCCCTCCAAATCTGCCCTTAAATTTGTGTCCATGAAGGCGGTGGGAGAGTGGGGCTCTTCTGGCAGCCGTGGTGTGTGCCTCGGTAAACGAGGCATGTCCAGGGGCACTCTCCATCCATTGGCCACTGCGCTCGATGTGATGCCAATTTTTTTCCTTCCATTTGAGTCGATGCGTACGCTGACTCGGCAAGCCACTAATCACCAGAGTCGTGAATAATAATAATAATAATGCGTATGCCCGACATATCCTGCACAATCAAAGACGTGTTATATCTTTTAAATCGCAGTCACGCATACTTTGTGAGCACGATGAAGTTGATATTAAATCACTTTACACCTCATTATCAGTGTTAACAAAGCAGTCGTGTCATTTATACTGCAGTGTTATTTTGTACCATCAATGAGACCGCGGCAATTGGAATCCTCCTGATATTTAACAGAGAAAATACGTCGAGAGTTTCTGCGCCTCCTGACTTCTCAATCGGACATCGCGTTTGATTACAGAAATATATTTTTAAAATCCGCACGTTATTAAATCGTTCATTATTATTTATTAACGTTGGGCCCTATTTAAAAATCTTGACATTTTACGCCCCCCTCCTTCCCTCCTCCCGCGAGGGTCCGCCTCTGTGTCACACCCTTAATTCTATTTTAATAGAGTAATAGATGGCTGACACAACAAACCGTCAGCTGGTGATTTGTCAGGTTTTGTGTTGCCTTGCCATTGCCTCCAGCATTGATCAAAGGCACTGGAACGCATGCATGGACCATTTTGTTAAGAGCTGTTGATCTCAGCCTGTTTTGTAATAGTCCACTGGGTCCTAAAATCAATAGTCCTTGAGCGGGAACAAAATTAGCTCACATTCGAAAGTTTGCATTGCTCAGTTGAAGAGTTCACCAATGGCCCGACATGGCCTGATATTCGAAAATATCAGCAGAGCTGCATTCTGTGTCTCCACATTAAATATATTTAATTTATCTTACACCATCAGCCTTTTGACTATTCAGACCTACATAATCAATCAGCAAAATTTGCTGAAAGTAAACTCTGGACCGGTTTTGGCCTTCTGGGTCTTATCAGCAGCCAGGATTGGTCAGCAAATGCTGCCCGATTTACAGAGGTGATTGACAAGTTTACTCCGTATCATGTTGTATACAAAATTATTACGTATTATTCATTATATACAATTATTCGTTAAAATGTGTTGGGAAAAATAAATTTAAAACTATTTTTTTCACATTCTGCTGTGTCTGCAGCCCTTAAACCATCAACGATATTATGAATCCACATTCTGTCGAATCACTCTTTCACCCTTCTGACCTTCCGACAAACATTCACCTCTCAGCGCAGCCCTTCCACGGGTCTCTGCCGCCCCTGATGCAGCTCCGAGCACTGCGACCCTTCACCTCTCCCCTCTTCCTCACTCGAAGTGCTCCATCCTCCCTCACCTTGCCCCCTTACAAAAAAGGACAAAGATCAGCACCCCCCGCCCCCTCACATCATGGAACCTCTCTTGCCAGTATCAAAATATAAGAATAGGTTATATCCTTTCTGCCAATAAAACAGTTGTGTTAAGATGTTAAAACACCAAACTGAAACCTTTTTGCAAGTATATGTGGTTAATGCAGACATTAACCACAAATACCACAATTATGTGTGGTTAATGCAGACATGATTCCTTGCAAAAGGTTTCAATTTGGTGTTGTAACATTCTTGTCCCCCCGCATAGCCTATAGAGGCTGTTGGGGCAAATGCTGTTCGTGAGTAGCACCTATAAAGGCTGACAGAGTGCACGAAGGGGTGGTGTGGCCGTTACCACGCCCGGCCGCCTCTGTCTCTTCAGTGCTCAAATGTTCACACACACCGCACCAGGTACACATTTCAAGGTGAGTCTACCTCATGTCAGCTGTAGTCGTGAATTGAACTCGGGCCACTGGTGTTCGCAGCACAGTGCGCTAAGCACCGGGCCACTCTCCCCACGCTCTCTTCACACTCTCCTGCCCCTGTGGTCCTTGCACCATGACTACGAGTTGGGTCCCCAGCAGCCTCTTACATAACAATTCTCGACTACAGCGACAGCAGTCACCATAGATACGAACGCCCCCCACCGTCTCGGAGGGGCTGAAGCAGCCACTGAATCGTGCACTCACGCATTGTATGTCACAATGATGAAAGCGCACTTCAATCCTCTTTGTTAAGGTTAAACAGGTTTGTGATGTGTTTGCTGTTAAACGCCTTCAAGGAATGGGATTACAATTGAAGGTGGAAATGAAATCATAAGTGGCCTGCCACGAGGGTGGCGCTGCAGTAAGACTCGCAACTCTCAGCAAGAAATTCCGTGATTTTATTCCCGACTCGGGCAGCTTTTTGCGTGGAGTTTGTGTGTTCTCCCCCTGTGCGGCTCGAATTGTCTCTGGGTTCTCCGGTTTCCTCCCATAGCTAAAACACCATACAATGTGAATGGTATCTGCCAAACATCCCAGTGCTGAAAAATGTCAAATCACTCAACTTGGGTGACAACGCGGCAGCAGAAACATCGGCCCCGGCAGGGAAAACTTGGCAGGACCCTCCTGGAAAAGTCTTGAGACTCGGTGAGGCTTTTCTGGGTAAACAAGTGTAATAGAGGAATCAAATACAGTAGCAGTATTAATAATAATCAGCAAGCTTGTGCACGTGATGGGAATTCTAAAAACAAAAGTAAACATGTCTGCGCCGTATTTTTATGGGAATTCACTCCCAATGCGGCTGTGCTGCAGCCCTTTCGCGTGGGGCTCGGCTTGTGTGCACAATAATCTGTCGCTGCCTCTACTGAGCTCGCAACGCGTCTGCTGTTATTTGATTGGACTTGCAAACCCAGACGTGCCCCCGAACCACGTAAATTCTAGTTCCCGTGCGCCTCGCAGGCAGATGGCGCAGCTAAAGCCGCACATAATGGCCACTCAGCACAATACTAATGTCGTGAATCAAGACGCGAAGTTAATTCAAAGGTGCAATGAAATTGCGAGCTAAATATAAGAGTGGCTCTATAAACAGACGCGATTATTACTTTGAAAATGCAGAGTAAACGTTCAGTTATTAGTCTTACGAGGCAGACTGCCGCATACAGCTGTCGTGTTCATTATTCCCGATTTGTCACTTCTGGTTGTGCGTGTGTGTGTCCCTGGCTTTAATAAAAA